GACAGACAGACAGAGAGACTACTTACCTTTCTCACCTTATGTTGTGCAGTGTTACTGTAATACTGTGAGGGATGATGTGAACTCCCTGGGGCGAGCGTGCTATCTGAAGGCTTGAAGAGGCACATCCTGACGCACATTCAACTGACAGATTGACATCCAAAACAAGCACTGTACATGAGGAAAAAAAGCCTCCACAATCTGAAAGAAAAACATTTCATATTCCAGTTACGTAAGCAGTTCCCTCAATCATGCACAATGTAACCGAACAAGGCGGTGACTTAAAATTACGTGATTGTTTTGTGCCACTATTCTCACAAGCAATTTGCAAGTTGTATTACAATTCTCACACACACAAACACATACCCGAGCTTGTGGGACTTAAGTGCCGTGTTTAACGATGTTTTGCCTTTGGCATGATCTGTATTTGTGCATTTTATCCAGTAACAAAGTCTTGATTGAAAGTGGTTTACAAAGACAGACAGCATCAGGTGGCTGGCAGGCAGTGGGTGCAGTTATCCAGAGGTTTGCTTGCTTTTTACAGCCAGTGGACAAAAGATATTAACATTTAATCCTTGGGTAAACATGGGTATGTGTTGATGGCTAAAATCCAATGCCAGTGCGCATGGTAAAGAGAAAGGACAGGCAAATGAAATACACTTTTAACCTGGCTGAAAAACTGGATTAATTATCAGATTTCACCTGCTTTTAAGACTAATCCTCTTTTAAAGCCAAACAAATGTGGATGTTTGAGCCCCACTGTTAGCTCTCTACCTCGTGCAGCTAAGACAAACAGACCTGCAAAACTGATATCAACAATTTCCTTGTGGAAAAAAAACAACAAAATCTTATATTTTCCTGGCCATTTGGCCCTTTGCAACAGCTTTCTAAAAGATATCTAAAAATACGATCTGTAACACTATAAATAACATAAAAAAACCTTTAGAATTAGCATTTCTCAGGCTTTACTTTTAAAAAGGCAGAAGCTGCATCCCTTGTGCAATGTGCTGCCATGTATAATTTTAGTTACCAAGAAAATGGTGTGCAGTGCATGAACCGAAAGAAATAAATCTGATACAGTAGAAAGAGTATAGCACCATGTACCTTCAAACTAAAACTACAATCTTCTTTCTAATGAGAACAACTTGACAAAAAATCTAAAATAGAAACGCTCTCGAAAGGTTGAAATCAAACATGGTCGACTTATTGTCCGGAGAAAATGAATTCATAGTTGAACTTTTTATCCTTCTCGCTGTAAGTGCCGTAAATTCACTGTTTCTAACAGCAATTCAGCATCCTTCCACCTTTGCAATACTTGTCGTGCCTCAGCTTTGTACTGACTGATGATTCAATGTCCCGGTGCAACCTCTCTTATGTGGCAAACCTCCAGTTGGCACTCAGTGCGGGGTTGAGATCTTATAAGATATACAGTATATGCATATAATCGTGAATGTGGGAGAGGTACTTGTGTTTCCACTTTCTTTCCGGCAGAGACCACAGCAAAATGCGAAGAGACTGACATCTCCGAGCACCTTTGTAATGTGCTGCAGCGCGGCACTTGTTTGCCATCGCCTTTATCTCGAGGCATGCGTCCAGACATTTGTCGTCAGGTTGCTCTGTTTACCTTTCCACTCGACCAGAGCCGTTTACAGCAACGCCAAAGCACCTGCTATTGAGCATAATACCACTCAGGATGTTTGCCTACCACTTGTTAATCTGTGTTTGTGCTATGATGTGGGGGGGGGGGAAAAACGATCAAAGGCGTGGGGGAACAGTGAGAAACAGTGTAGGGGAAAAACTAAAAGTAAGAGTGAAAGAGGCACATGCAGTAAGACTAAAAAAGATCATGAATAAATGGAGTAAGTCTTTTCTGGGCACACAGGAGTGTTGTGTGTTTGCTGCTGAAATGAAGTGAAGATAAAGTGAAGTCATAAAGGCGTTTGTTTGGGTGTTGTGGTCAGTGAGCAGGATGTTGTGACCCTCTGGGAGCCCACATGTGCTGAGGTCAGTGGGGAACGGCCGTTCTGGACTTACAGCGCTGTCGGATCTCCACCTTGTGGCTTGGACCCCATCTCGCAGTGCTGAACGGCTGCCTGACACACAAGCTTAAACAAACACACGCCCAACCGCCCACACCCACGCAGAGCCTTA